GAATCACAATAATTTGAAACGCCTTTGCTATTGTTATGCCCCCTTAACCCACCAAAGGTAGAAGGAAAATAATCCCACTGACAATCTGCCCCAAACAAGATCCTTTGCTTAGATATGAAAATTGCTTTCTCGTCCCCCTTGCATCGAAAAAGGTATGAAAATTGCCTTGGCTTCTCGGTCGGATCGGTAACGATCGTCTGCTGCCAATCTTCCGCGTACAAAATCCCTTGAAGGATAAGGAAAATTGCCTACTCGTCTCGCTCGGATCGAAAACGATCTTCCTCTGAAGATATGTAAATTGAAGATGCCAAAAGAAGATGATAAATTAATCTGAAGATGCCGTTAATTAGACTGATAAAATAAATATATGTTGATTTTGCTGAATTTCTTTACCTTTTGTCTCTACCCTGTTTTGGCAGCCAGTTTTTTGGTAACAGTGATGTGCTTGGATGTAGTCTTGTACCTTACTGTGTTCCTCCGACAGGAAACACATTTACAAGAGCCGCAAATGAAGTATATCCGTCGAGTTCTGATTGTTTTTCAACTTTTCCTAAAAATTGACGGCCATATTGAAAAATGCTCAATGTCTTGGAAGTATCAATCAAGCTAATTTTACCTTTCTAGTCCTAAAGGATGCGTTTCTGTAATAAAAAATTACGAGAAAGAAACATTTTAGGGTTCAACTATTGTTCCTATGGGCGAAAGTGGATATTTGTCATTCTATATTGTGCAGTATCACCCAGTGACGTCATTGTGACGTCACCTTTGGTCTCATTGATGTGCACAGTGAGCGTACGTTTTTAAAATCTATTTATGATATCATAATTAGTGCTGGTAGTACTCGTTTTGGTGAAATCTGAATGTACATAAAATGCTGAGTCAGCATATTTAAGAGAGCCGCTCATCCGGGTACTTGTGAATATTGGAGTTGCCCCCCGATCCAAAATTGACAAACACCCAATGGTCCTTCATCGTGGAAAGTTTCATGCTTTTATCATCTTTTGCACAATTCTGGATATAATTTGGACTTAACCGCCTGACTATACATTTGGGTGAACAAGATGAAGATTTAGAATTGTGTTAGTTGTGAAAGTCAGTCAACGACACATACTAGGGGAGACCGGGGCTAGTTGCTGATCAGGATTGCAGCACACCAAACACATTCTAACGCTCAGCCCGGTATAAGTATAAGTAGGGGAGACCGGTACTAGTTGGACTCGGGGTGCAATCCTGATCAGCAATTAGCTCTAAAGTATGCCTTTGAAAGGGCAGTTTTTTTTCATTTGTGTCAAAAGTTCAAATAAAGATACACTTGCGTTTACATACAGACAAGTGATTCCTGTGTCGTAGCTACAAAAAGTTTGCACTGATAAATGGGAAGCATGGGAAGCAACGTACATGTATAATAGTGGAAGGGGAAAGCGACGGGAGGGGGCCCGGTTGACATTTAACCCACCAGGTCACTGCGATTATGACTGATGCCAAGTTTAAAAGAGTGATGGTCGTGTCCTCATATATAACCTCTTGGCAAAATCGATTCAAAACCCAAGTGCCAAAATCATCTGGCATGCAGCATGAGCTTATAAAGTAATATTATGACCTGCTTTTAACAACTGAGCAATAACTTCAAAGGGGCGAAATGGCGGGGGCGGGGGCAAGTCACCCTTGCCCCTCCGATTTCTTCATCTGCGTAATGTAATTTTATTGAAATCGTCGCCGTTTTTTTTTATTATTTTCACGTACAAAATGGCATGATAATCATACAGGTGCAGGATAGCTGCAAGTCAAAATTGGTGCCACCAGCTGACCTGATAGCGTGCTCACTGCACTTACCCTATTCACCGAGTATAAGGTTCATAAGGATTGGATTGTGATAGAGAAGGAGGTTGCATATTTACTGCAATAATTGAATTAGTAGGACAAGTAGTTAAATGATTATTCTAGGCCACTCCCTGGCATAGGTTATTTTACACACTGACTCCTTTGGAGACAGGACAATTTCACGGAACAGAATTAAAACGGCAACTTTCCAACCCATGTTAATGATGTATATGCATAAAAATTTTGATGGATTCCATACTTTGGAGTTCCATATAAGACATTGTAATTTCACAATTTTGCTAGAAAAAAAGCATGTTTTGCAGTTTATCGTAGCACGCAGCTCAAGGGCAACAACATCGAGAAAGTTAACGGTACAAGTTATTCACTGAGCCCTGCTCATTCCAGTCGGCAATAAAAGTAGCACCAGACGCATATAGGGGCCTACGTGTACCCTTTGCTTGCCCGTTATATTGTAACCCCTCCACGTAATGCAGAGCCCATTATCAAAATGTATGTATAACCTGAGTAAGGATACGTAACGTTATGCACGTACGCTCCGGTCTGATTAATAGATTCTTAACAAAAAGGTTATAAAAGGAGAAATATCTCCCAGGGAGCCCAGAGTGAACACGCTGTGATGTAATTTAAGAATGGTTAATGGCATGACTTCAGACCGATGGATTTAGTGAAAAATGAGAAATGAACATAACTCATTGTTATATATATCCATTAACGGAAAAAAGTATTCTTTGCATAAAACCTATGTACGGGTAGCGGTGTTCGATATTTTTGCCAACTGAACGGTGGAGTCATGGGGCCTTTTGTACCTTTTTATGTCGTCTTATTGCATCGTTGATTATTCATAATAATTTGATATCTACAGAGTGCTACAAGAAATCCTAGGCCCCATTCAGTTTAGATGATCTGAGTGCTAACTGATCCGCCAACTAAATATAGTCTGTTCGTTGTCTGAAAGAAAAACGTAAAAGGTGACTATGTGCTCCGTTTTTTCTTGGTGGGAATATCGCGTTCCTTATAAATGTATGAACCCTGTTTCAAGACGCAAAAATAGAATAAATAAATAAATAAATAAATAAATAAATAAATAAATAAATAAATAAATAAATAAGGGGAAACAACGCACAGAAATTAAAAGGAGTTGTTTTAACAGTAGCTATTATTTTTTATTTCCAAGTGTGTAAAAAGGCACAAGTCCGCGTGATTGTGTGTGTGAGTGTATGTCACCCAAATGACACAGTTTTACGCCCCACGGAGCAGCAATGAATTGTGTAGGGAAAGCAGACAAAATGTCTATAAGTTTTTACAGCTGCAGAATTAATATGGCCCCTAATTACTGTATGTGAAACCGTTTGGAGTCGCATTTTGAAAGTATAACCGTCACTAGTTCAGCTGTGCTTCGAAACGTTTAAACAGAACGACTTTTTATTAGGACGGGAACACATTTTGAAGATTGAATCCCGTCAGAGGAATGCGAGTAAATATATGAACACCACACCTCAGTGACCTGACTTAACCTATTTTTTCATTCATTGTTATTACAAGGTAGCTACTTCTGTCCCTTCAATGAGGCCATTTACACAAGATAGTTCACTTGATATATATGTTCTTTATTCCCCCTGCCTAGCTAAGTCTGCTTTGTGCGGAACAAGTTGAACCGGGCCTGCTTGTGTAGCTCACACCTAGACGCAAAGAAGAAGGATACACAGCGCCTTTCCGTCTTGTTGCTCAAGGTAGGCGAAGTGTTTTATGTGACTTATTACGGTAAACTTAACAAAAGAATTTACACAGCATAACGGCACATTTTAAAACGTAGGGGGATTCAGAGGCTGCTTAGCAGAGATATACTTGAAGAGGGATCTTTAAGAAGAGAAAACTGAATCGTGTTGTGGTATACGAGAAATGCACCGTGGCACAACATACATGTATACAACGACATGCCTCAGCGATAAATATAGTCACCGAATTCAAATGTACAAAAACGACATGCACACACGTACACATAACAAAATGGCTTGCGCAGACACACACACACACACACACACACACACACATACACACACACTGTCAATACAAATAGCATTATTAGTAGAGTTCAAGTATCCCACGACCGGCACTTCAAATCATAACTGCACGTGCATTTCTTTTATAAGAGGGGCACTCCTCTCTTCTGTCTGCAACCGTGTCTGTGCGTTCAAGCGAAAAAAAAAGTAATGCAGGTTACATTGACTACTCACGGGTGTATTGCGATGTAATATCGAACTACATGTTTATAATGTTTTAAATATCATACTTGCGGTGTCTGTTCATATTGCGGTTAATGTGAAGCAAGCTTCGTTGTTAACATTGCGCCCCGTTGTTAAATGACGAAAATTAGCTTTTAGTGCATAAATGTCCAATTTCGAAAGTGGGGTGGGGGGTAGTGATTTTGTAGATACGAAACACTGACGACTTTAACTTATAACTTCATAAACGGTTGACAATACAATATATATTCGCAGTATTTTTCTCTTTATTTTAGAATAATGCCTGGAGAACAATTGGTATGCGTGTGGCAAGCCGCCTATGCTTTGAACCAAGGTTCAAAATCGCTTCTCCGGGAGAATTTAAAGAAAATCACCGCCGAGTTTGCCATTCTTGAGTCGACGCATTATTCCGAACACAAGTTTGATGAGACCTTTCAAGGGGACTCCATCTCCTTCGACACCTATAAAACTTTTGTCTGTAAATCACTACTTAACGAGGGGGTTCCCATAGGCGTGCTGTTCAACGATATAGAGAGAGCATGCTGGCAATTGTCCAAGAAGGCATATAAAAGTAAGTTAGAAGAATCTGATCTTTTTTGTCTCTGGCAAATATTGAACCGCTTATCCGACCAGGGTAGCTATCCTCCAGTTGTTTGTCAGGATGAAAGTCAGTGGCTCTGCGAAAAAGTCGCGTCTGAACTCAACAAGAACTGGAAAACCATACAGTGTGATTTCAAGACCACGGGGTCTACGTTCCAGGAGGTCGTGGATACGTTGGAAAGAGTTTTCTTTCACGTGGCTCCTCTGGCTTCTGTTCATATGTGTATCAAACACATACATGAATGGTTGGTTGAAGAGGTCATGAAATCTGGGTGGATCAACAAGCGTTCGAAAAACTGCTCTGGGATAGGAAACTGGACCAACTGGTCCAAGATATGGCTCATCCTGAAACCCGATCGTCTCGAATTTTACGAAAAACCACCGGTTGAAAAAGGGAGGAGCTTCAAGAAGGGTCAGATTTTGATTGATAAGAACCTGATGATGGAAACTGTGCCCGATTACCGAAGCTTTTTCAAGAAGCTGTCTGGATGCTTTATGATAACAGATGATTCGGCAATTTACGAGTTTGGGGAAACCGACGGAGAAGGTCCCGACTGGTTTCATTGCCTTGAAGAAGTGATGGACAGTTACAAAATCAACATTACTCCAGTGCAAAAGCTGCTGAAGGAACGCCAACGCAGGCGAGAGGAGGCGAAGAATACTATCCCCGTATCTGCGTCGGATATTGACATTGACATTGACATACGGGCAGATGTGCTTGAAGCTACAACAAAAGATGTGGTAAACGGCCAGGTTAACCCTACTATAAAAGACCAACCACTTTCAAGGCGCACGGGGTGGCAATTCGCTAAAAAGAATTACGAAGTCCCAGAACACGTGCTTAAGAAGGGTGAAGATAAGCTTAAAGCCGTGTTCATGAAAGTGGATACCAATGGAAATGGGTGGATCGATCCGACAGAGTTTTCCACTTTCCTCAAAGGTCTTGGTCTTACCCTGACAGAGAAAGAAATCAACTTGGTCTACAATACTATAGACAAGGATAGGAATGGGCGGATTTCTTTTCAGGAGTTTGAAGAGTATTTTATGAGGAATGTGTTAGACGAGCAAGAGACGGGTGATCGAACAGCTGCTCTAAGAGCTGCTTTCATGGAGGCCGACCGCGACGGTTCCGGAACACTTGATTTCAAAGAATTCACGGAATACTATTGGGAAAAGAAGAGGAACGCCCGACTTGACAAGCTGATGGCAGGGTTCGGCAAGTTGAATAAAAAAGACGGTGATACAATTACATTTGCAGATTTTGAAAATTTGTTTGCACAGTCTGGAGTAAACATGGAACCACCAGTGAGCTCAGGAACACAGTCACCAAAAGTGGACGTCATCGACCTGCTGGATAAGGAACTTAAAGAAGAATATGACGAGGCAGCCGCCGGAGAATTGGAAGAATACATTCGTGATAGATGGGAAAAGTTTGCAAGTTTCCGTCGACTTGGTGCATCAGGCGAAGCCGTGATGACCGGAAAGGACAACATGGTTGCGGATATCGTTCCCGGGGAATACAGCCTCAAAGACATCGCACTGTTCAGTGATCTGCCCCCAATCGTTCCCAAGTACACAGCTGTCAAAGGTGTTCGCTGGGTTTCTAGCGGTGTGCCTGGGAAATCGGGAGAGCTACTTTTCCCCGACGATTTCAACTACGTCATTGCCGTCGATTTGGCTACAAATGAGCGACTGCGGTACTATGGATGCAGTTTTGCCGATGCACAGCAGGTGAAGGTGTCACTGTTGTACAGGCATGGGATCCAAGACTTCACGTACGAGAACCAGTATTTAGAAGACTACGTTGAAGACCGCGGACCTGGGATTGAGGTGCACCAGTTTTCACATCTCGACTGCCCCTTGCACGAAGATGCCGGAGTTTTCGTCATAGGCAAGTTTGCGGGGGAGGATGAAATCCACTTAACTGCCTTTGAGGTTCCAGTTCGTCATACAGTGTACGCCCCAGCGGGAACCATCCACTCCAATGACTACCTGAAAGGAACCTGGAGGACCATGCTGTCAGATGAAGCAGAGATCGACCACGTGTACCTCATGAAGAAGAAAGAGAATGGAGAAATGGAAAACTTTAAATTTCGTTTTGAATGATTACCCTGGAGAGTGGACATGTTAGCCCATGTTAGCCCTTTTCAAGTATATGCCTTAAAGCGGTAAATGGGTCATAGATAGAGGTTCAATAACACTTTTTGTCATGTTTTTTTTTATATAACGCTTGTTCTTATGAGGCATATTTGGGGAAAAATAGAGGTAAATAGTAAAAACACCTTTCTGCGAAAGAACTTGAAAATATGCATGACGATGCACTTAAGTGGAAAATCATTGGAAGATCACAAATCAAACATATGCACCTTGATGGCAAATATTTTGAAAATACTCAATTTAAGAATTTTTTTGGTTCATTTTTTTACCAGAAAGACACTTCTTAGATTATGTTTATAATTTCGGTCTTTGCCCTTCAAGGAAATGACATACTGTAAAGCACATAAAAACATTGTTCATAGTATCTGTTTTGTTAAGGAAATACCTATACGAAAATTCACAAATAGTATTTTCCGTTTTAACCATATCCTTTGGTATACTAATTGAAGTCAGCAATCTTGTTAGGGTCATTTACTATAGTAAAGTGATTACTGAATTCCGATTGTTTACCGCAACGCCGTCCTTGGTGACAGGAGTCATTTATGGTCAGAGTTTGCATACATTGACTATAATGTTTTATTAGTGGTGTGTGTAGCTGCACTTGTCTCTGACATATGTTGGCCTTCTTGTTTAAGTGGAGAATGCACTGCTTAATGCAAGCATTAGAGGCAGGGGGTCGCTTAGATGTTGCACTTTAGATGTGAAAACCGGTTATTAGATAAGCAGGGCATAAAATATTGCTTTAAGTGTGGTGAAATGACTAACAAGTTGTGACAACACAAGGTATCAAGGTTACAATCTGAGCACTCCTTTTTTCTTTCATTGTAATTTCATGTTGTTTTCATTCCTTTTGACACAAAGAGGTACACACTATTTGGACGCCACTTAAGTATTTACGTGTAGCTAATCATATATATATATATACATACCTGTGCAAAAGAAGGTTATTTCACAAAGCATATATTCTACCGTACTATTTAGTAATAATCAGAGAACATTTTCTCTCAAAAAGAGTTAACAAAGGCACTTGCAGAACAAAATTATCAATATGCAATTAAAAGAAATTACTGCCACTGTATACAGACGGAACAATAGTACATAAAATGGGGCGTCTTCGAACATGCATGTTAACAGTTCAAGGAAATAAAAACTATAGTCATGTCATGATTTTAGTTTTGCGCCTTAATCTTCGCTTTGCTGTTGCATGTAACTCTTATATTTTCCATTAAATGATTATTTCTAAACACAGTTTCAAATATAAAAACAGAGTTAACAAAACGTAGCTTTTTATAGTCATTTCCAATAAAATCAAAGTCGCATGATGAAGGCATTGTGTTTTTTTTTAAATCAAATAAACTACCGGTTATCGTAAAAGCAAGGCAGAAAAGAAACATCAGTAAATGTCGTATTTGCAAATAATTAGTTGACCGGATCTCGAAGCTGGTTGGTACAGAATCCAGAGTACACATACGGACTGAACCGACTCTTCAGTGTCACCGGTTGACCGAACCCTCTGCCTTTACGCGATTTCCAGCTGGATTTGGGCCTGTAAGCGTTTGGGGATGGAGTCTCAAACTCTGTAAGAAAATGTTCGAAATGTGTGAAGTTTTTTTTTTCTTATTCAGCAGTTATGATTAAAATATTTGATTTTCGTTATAGATGAATCCTCTTTCAATTTCCAAAATGATAAGATAGTTGGGCAAGCACATTTGTAGGTCTACAGTGTTTGAAACATGTGCATACACATCAGCAACATATACAAAGCATGCAACAAGAGTTTTAAGTTAACACGTCTTACTCTTAATAAATTGATGCCTCTTTGTCATGCTGTAACGGGGCCCCTCGTCCTTGACCTTTGGAGAGTAAGCTGCTGGACCGGGGCTCACCTTGCCTAAAATAGAAGTCAGACATGTTTGTATCTAAAGGCGTTTAAATACGTTATTATAAAATTATTTTGTCCTCATCGATTTTTATTTCGCATTTTGATACAGAGACAGCAAAAATGTCACATGGTAAAATTCATTTGTGGATTCAAAATAAGGGTCTTCGTCTCTTTTGGTTTAGACCTGTTAGCAAGATTTAAAAGCAGAAGAACAATGACCACAGACACTTTTTTACCGGATACAAGCAGAACATGGTATTGAGGGCTCCCAATTCATCATAAATTATTTCGACACTAAGTACCTCTGTATTTCACAGCTTTGATTAATTACTATAAATGTTATATCAGTATTAAGAACGAGGCTACTGTGAGGAGTATGACGTATGAAAAGTAAGAGTACTCACTACAGGGAGGTTCAAATCTCTGGGCCATGGTGTACCCTGGTGCTTTCTTCGCGTCAGGTTTGTGGAGGAGCTTAATACTATAATGTGCTGGGCCTGGTACTTGGTCTGAAATCAAGGTGCAAAATAATTTCGATATTCTAAACATGTCATGTCCGTTGCATATACATGTAGGGTATTTATTTTTCGTTCATCCATAATTTTTACTTGTTTATTTTTTTTTTTAACTTTACTTGCCCGAAAGTGTTGTTTGTTTTAAACTTCAATAATGATGAAAAAAATGGGGAAATGAAAACACATAGTTTGCATGGTGCCCTTTTTGCTAATTTTGAGGTGGAATAGTCAAAAAGATTTATTTTTTAATTTCACACTGAAAACGAGCTGTTCCATCCCACATCTCTCTCTCTCTCTCTCTCTCTCTATCAAATAAAACAATCGTGACATACTTACGTTTAGGAGACTTGGCTCTTTCTCTCACAGAAAATGCTGGGGCCTTGTACTCTGTATACTTGAGATTTGGATCGTAACTACCTGGTCCTGGGGCAAATAGTTCATCTGGAAAAAATCACAGTAAAAATTAACATTGTCAACAAAGTTCCTGATTCATTGAACATATATGTATAACAGTAGTATGATAGCAATAACTAGAAACCGTAATTTCTTAAGTGGTTTATTGTGAAAGGCGTATCACTATACAAGAGAATTAAAATTTAAAAAATGTGGTTAAAATCACATACTGTGAGTGATTAAAGTCAAACAGCATTATAATGATTTTTATAAAAATTTTCATGATTTCTGTACATGAATATTCAAATGCAGTAATTTTGAAATTCATTCCCACACCGTCGTGAAAACTTACACGGAAGAAAACAGTTCCCGCTTGTTCTCTTGGCGCAAGTGTAGGCAGGGCTACGTTTCAGGTTAGTGTCCGTCAAAGAATAGTGAGCGGGGCTCGGCTGCGGTGCCTCTGTTTTGAAAAGAAGGAAACACATGACAATCTCTGATGAAAAACTTATTTTTTGCCTTTATTGGTCATGGTCAATGCAATAATCAGGCGACTCTCAAAGCTGAATATAAGTGTATGATCTAAACCTGCAATTACTGTACTGCAGTCTGAAGGTCAGCATGTGATTCACCTAAAACTGTGCTGTATTGAAAATAAAATTAGATAAGAAATACTTCTTTTATCATCTGTTGTTGTGACCAGTTAATTTAGATGAGAGCAGGCACTGGGCGTCTGCGTTTTAACAAGTATACAGGTACGCATTAAAAAAAACAGTGTACAGGTTAAAGTTCCCCAAGCTGAAATCAGTTTTAACATAGAATGGGCCTATTTTTATATATTCTGCTATACTATAGCCAATGGTCAGAAGGATTAAAGGTCACACTTGATAACCACTTCTCAGCAAATATCCTTAACCATTTTTCTTGAAATGATACTTTTCGCCTTGAGTATTCCCTTCACCCCATATCATAAATACCCACCTTTTATTTCAAACCACCGGTAGGCCAGTGTTTTGGCTGTGGGAGATTGACAGATTATATTTGGTAGTGTGTACATATTTGGTGCTGGCCCGTCATCCACTGAAACGGGAAATAAAAAAAACATAACTAGAAAACACTCCGAGAGCGCAGACCTCCGTCAAGGCAGCAAGTCTCAACCCAATCCCGTTTCACCCCTAAATTTTCATTCTATAATGATTTAGTTTTTTTATTTTTGATTACTGATTATTGATTGATTACTGATCCGGATCACCACCAAAAACTAATCATCTCTTCCTTGGCCAACTTCTGACAGTTCCTGAAAATTTAATCAAAATCGGTCCATTACTTAGTTTTTTTTATTTCTGATTATTGATTGATTATTGATCTAGATCACCACCAAAAACTAATCACTTCTAAGTTAACCCATTTCTGGCCTACCCTGAAAATTCCACCGAAATTCATCCATAACTTTTTGAGTTATGTTGATGACAAACAGAGAGACAGACAGCCAAACAAATAGGGGTGAAAACATAACCTCCTTGGCGGAGGTAATAATACTAATAACTAGAAAGCGCAGACCTCCGCCAAGACAGCGATTTTTTATTATTATTAATTATTGATTGATTATTGGTCCGGATCACCACCAAAAACTAATCATCTCTTCCTTGGCCCACTTCTGACAGTTCCTGAAAATCGGCCAATAACTTTTTGAGTTATGTTGATGACAGACAAACAGGGGTGAAAACATAACCTCCTTGGCGGAGGTAATGACGGCTTTCCTGGGATTACCTTCTCTGGTCTTGGGTCGTCCTGTGATAGAAATGGCGACCGTCTCGCCCACAGTGGTGCCCAGGTCGTAGGCGTTAGGGGCGGGGTTGTCCGTCGTGCTGGTGGCTGAAAATTGAATTTCACTAAACGTAATCTAGTTTAATTAAAATTAATCAACTTAATTTGAATTACATTTGTGTATGACAGTTTAATTTCCTTGCTGAGGGATAAGTATTGTATCTAACGTTTTTTGCAATCTGCCCTTGGAAGGGATAAAGATCAGAGGAAGACAACAATAGGACAATTATATAGCGGTTAATACTGAATAACCATATCATATAATAATTTCCAGTGTGTACGTAAAAGGGATTTATTTATATCTAATTAATTTTTAGCGAAACTTCATTTTAATGTCATCGAGTATAGTCCACTCTCCTATCTATAATGTAAATGTGGGGCGGGGGAGAGATGTGAGAGATAGTATACTAACGTGCGGGTGTGTAGGATCAGTTTTACCACGATATTTTCTTCATTTCTTTGTTTAAACGGTATGTAACATTGGGCTAATTAAGAAGGAGGTGGAAGTAGTTTTAATTTGCTACTATCTACTGTCAGCACGCTAACAATGGAAATGAAAGGACCACACACAACCCTTTACTACTTCCCAGTAAACAGTACGCGTCAACAGTAAAGAACTCGCAAAGTATATAACGAAGCATTTTCAAGCGTGAGTGTACGCCGGACTTAAGGTAAAAACTCACCTTCTTTCCACTGTTTAGGCGACGGTAACCGTTGAGCTAGTGAGTAAGCTGGACCCCGATATTCATCACTGACCGTGTATTCAGCAGGGCCTAGGGAAAAGGAGGAGAATAGCTTATTATGTTCTCTCACAAAACATTGGTAACGCCCCCTTTTTTCCTATAGCTAAAAATCAATTACTGAACAAGTGGTTACTTCATGTTACACGAGTTTTTCCACGTAAATTGAGATTCTATGATTCACGAGAATGCACTCCACTATCATATAACAACATCCCCGTTTTCATTTTTTTTTTTATTCCACCGTTAATAAATTGCATTTCCTAACATTAGATATTATATGGCTTTCAATCAGGACACTCACCGGGTCCTTCTTCAGTCTTGTCTTTCCTACTGCACCCGAATGACTTTTCCGGCCCACGACCCCAGTATTTGGAGCTAGGGCGGTATCCGGGCCCTGGGTTGTTGACACCTATAAAAATAAAGGAAACCCAATTATTATTATTTTAGTTAAATTAAGAAAAAAGTTTTCCTGTCAATTTGGGAAGACTCAACCTAATTCATCTGTATAATGATGAAAAATATGATAATGCAAAAAAAAAAGAAAAATGAATCTATATATTCGAATCAATTGACTTATTTCGTTGGATGGCGACTGTACTCTGACCACAAGGTGCGCAAGTACTAGTATACTGGTGGTGTGTTACAAAATTATTGCATTGCTCATATTTTAATTTTGTCTGCTTTTTAAGAAGGCCCTGGTATCATAGGGTAGTTACATGTTTACACCACAAAGCGGACCAATCACGTACCGTGTGTGTCGACTGGCTGCACCAATCTGTTGGGCGGTTCTCCGGGCACGGCGACAGGGGCGCGGACACTGTACCTGGGCCCCATAGTCCCGCAGTTGTAATACTGGCTGTTGTACCGGGATGGCCCGATGCTGTCGTTAATGTGGGCATCACCTAAAATAGTTATGGTGGGGTATAGATCACAAGAAAGAAAGAGAGAGAGAGAGAGAGAGAGAGAGAGAGAGAGAGAAGTTCATTCGACACACTACTATTTAAATAAATCAAAATAAATAAATCAGTAGGCCTTCAATTTATATAAAATTTTGAATTCAATATAGGATTTTGAATATACTCTTATAATTTCGACTTTCATACCAGTAAATTCTCTATATAAGATTTTGATAAAAGGAGTAAAAAGATAAGCAGCAACAGATAATTTCGGATAAGGAATAAAAAGGTGAGAAGGGCAACTTACTTCTTATATCGTATATGCACATCCTTCCTTTGTTTTTCTGTGATATAAATTTATCTCTCCACTCCATGTCAGTGCTGGTGTCGTAGTCGGCGGGGCCAGGGCATTTCTTGGCTGGAATGTCAATATAATCATTTGAATCCAGTTGCGATAAAATCACAAACTGGATCGTATTGTTAAAATAAGACATGCAAAGGTATATTCATCTTAATGCTGGATATAATATTATGAATAAAAACCTATATAGTACAATTGAAGAAAAAACTTGGCAAATGATCTGAAATTTGTTTCTTTTTAACAAGATGCCTTTGTTTTATTAGACAGATATAGGTTATAATTTGATAATGATATAAAACAGAAAAGGCCAAGTCTGAAATAATTTTCCCTCGTGCAATTCAATGGTGCTAACTTATTCCATCCCACGGTATTTCCCCAGTGTGCGCAAATGCAGATGCTCTTTTATTCTGTGCGTGAGTGACTTTACTATTTGTTTGGCTCTCAGGTCACTTCAAACAAACCTTTCGGTGGGCGTGTCCTTCCTACTATCAATACCTGAGGCGCTGTTGTTTTGGTCAGATCGTCTTTGGGGTAATAATCAGACGGCGATGGATTGCAGTCGCCTGAAAAATTGCAAATGGCGTTTAACATCGGAACATCTGGTAGAAACGCATGAAAAAGGTGTAGAATTATTCCTAAATGTTTAATAAACAAACATTGTTTATTAAACAAACAGCATGGCTAATGGCCAAAATATACATATGATATCAACAGCTCAATATTCAAACGTTTTAATTTTTAATCTCAAATAAAAGGAGCCCCCCTATACCGACATAAAAATAAAAGACACAGCTTTGATAACTACTTGCCTAGCGATGTAAGAGGTTTTTCTCCAGGCGGAACAATGTAGGAACCCATAGCTGTTCTTCGTCCTAAAAACATATAATTCAAAGATCTGTATTAAATCAGCGGGCAACAAGAATAATTAGATTACGAATTTAGATATAAAAAATGTTGCAGCAATTTGAAATGAAAAGGAGACTCTTACCTGATAACTACGATGTATCATTGATACTAGTACTGTTTTTTTTACTCTGTGCATATCTTTCATCGCTTTTTAGCATAAATTTCGGATTTTGCATGAAGTTAAAATTTAACAATTGAGTAGAAAACAAAACATTTATTTTTCATCCTTTTTTAAACATGGCTACATATGTGTGCAATTTATATAGTATTAATTCAGTACATCAGCATGAATACAAGTGGTTTGAGTAAAAAAAAAAAAAAAAAAACATCTGGCAATACTTACGTGGGAGCAGACGTCGCTCCTTCATATCTTCAAAACGTTCTTTTAAAGTGATAATCTTATCTAATTTTTTACTTCCATCTAGTGATCCTGACGCCTTTTGCGCTGCGCCTGCAATCACTGTGCTGTCCTTCTCATCTTCAGCTATCGAATTCATTTTGCTGGTCTCTTAAAAGGACAACATTACACAAAAGGGAAGAAAGACTTTCCCCCATCGGCTCACTGATGCACACGTTGTTGTGTAGTTGCCGTTGCTATCGGGGAAATGGACATTGCTGTCACGTCATTTCACTCTGTGACGTCATAAGGGGGGCTTATGACGTCATTTACTCATTGTTGACTCTTTATTGTTCTGCTCATGTGGCGGCGTCATAAATGTTTCAGTTCACAACGTCTATAGTAAATAGTCAATATTCATTGGATATGTTTATGTCCCGATCAACTGACACACGAAAAGAAACAAAGAAAAAATATGAGAGCGAGTTAATTTTTGGACATAAAATGCGCGTTAGACCTTTACCGAGAAAATACTGGCAAGTTCAGCTGTTTTTTCTTTCTCTCCCTCTCTTACCCCATATATTCAAAAACATTAGAGCAAACTACGAAACCAGTTTTTGAGTACTTAACGTATAACTTTACCGCCATAATTGGGTTTCTTATATTTCATTTAGACTCACCGTCTCTACATCCATATTTAAACTGAGGCCAAGACTACAGACTTCTAAGACTTATAAAAATAAAAACGGGTTTATGGATCGATATTATGTGAACAGCTTTAGGCACGGTATACATTGGCGATGAAGGTAAAAGTACTGAAATCTACGGGAAAATTAATATTTTGCTGAATAAAATTCTACCGCTCATACTGTATGTGTTCCTGTAAGTTCGTCGCTTTACTGATGATATTTCTGTGTTAAGCTTTACTGATGATATTTCTGTGTTAAGTTCACCTGCTGAACAGCTTACTCTGAATGGCTAAAGTATAGTCATTTATCAACAGATTAATATTGTACGGTGTACAAAAGAGATTTAACAAAAGCAGTTACAGAATTGAAAGAATGAAAAATGTAAAGGTAAGCAATAACAATAATAATAATACGAAAAACTTAAGTAAAACAATCAAGGTAAAATACAAACGAATTTTTTGAATGAAATAAGAAATACTGTAGATAAATACTAGCATACAATTATAAAAGAAATCAAATTGATTTACAAAATACTTTCTTTACAAACTTCCATAACCAAGCCATTCAAACAGTTGACTCTAAAAACGTTTCCCTACAACAATAATATCTAAACAGCAATAACAAACAGTATATCAGGCTGCCTCGCTTGTAACTCATCTAGCTTTTGATCCACCACGTGAAAATCAACAGCTCGCACAGAGGGCGCCACTTAGCAAAAGGAGGGGGCAAATGAGACAGGAGAGGAAATAGGAGACAAGCCCCTTGCCGATAAAAACATGTATTATCGGTACCCTCTGATATCAGGATCCCTTTAATTATTACATAAATCCACACTGCCTTTCGATATTTTGGTAACAGACTATTAACACCCTCTGTGGTCAGAGAGTATATTATCGGCATCATTAAGCAAATAGACAAAATCAACAAGACAGAAAGGTCAGGGTACGTTAAGATATATGATGTTATATCGGAGTAGGTCAGTTTAGAGACTGGGATGCTCGTTGACGGAGGAGAAATTCGTGAATACGATGCGTGATAAAATGCGTTCATACAGGGAAACTTGTTCCGTTGGGCTATGTGGGATGCTAATTGCGTTTTTGTTAGGTATGTATAAGCTGGCAAATTGACCACTATACGTATTTTTTAACCTCTGAAATGTGTTAACATCCATGTAGTCAAGTTTTGCAAACTGTTTGTTCTAAGGCCATGAGCGAAATTTATTGAAATACCAACATTGAAAAAGGTTGTGCCATAGTCCTAAAGATCTACATGTAAATTATGCATGCGATAATTTCAATAAAGTTTGAAGTTAAGAAAATCACACATTTTATGTACATATAAGAACAAAACCAGCGGCATTTCAGGCACAGCACTGGTGGAGCCTGTGACGTCACAAACTGAACACGTTTTGCTTAACTGCACATTTGAAGATCCCACCATTTGTAACTTCAAGTTCGACCGGAATCACAGTCAGGCTGAGTGGATACGGCACCGAGGACAAACTCCGAGTAGTAGGACAGGGCCCGATGGTGATCACACGACTGGTGGTAAGACCAATAACAAATGTATATGCAGAAATACTTAGAGCAGAGCACGTACCATTATATTTCACTGTATATCATTTTTAGCTCATACATTCATAAATTGGTGACTCGGCTATAAATTCATATACATGTATTTGTGACTCAGCTATAATCATATTTTAAGCATATTCAGGATGCAACAAAACGTGCTTACAAGCATTATTATTATTATTATTATTATTATTATTATTATTATTATTATTATCAATAAAAAATAAAGAATCCTCTTATGCCAAGCGGCAGTAGTACAGCCTTAAATGATAACAAGAGAGATCAATAACAAGTAAAAATGCTAAATATCATTTTTTGAATTGTTGGCGGAATCATTTTTAATTGCATGAATAATAAAAGTATCCTGTATGGGAAGGGGGGGTGAGTTAAATAGCCCTGGTGCAAATTTCACATTAACATTTTAATACATGAGTTTATGCGCATGACAAAAAACGCAAAATATTAGAAATGGGAAATTGAATTAAACCATAAAAAGATAAATAAAAATGGCGCATGTTATGAATTGCAGATAAAACTAAGGAGATGTTGTAGGCAAGGGTTTACGCTTCTTTATACAACTACGATATTGAAAACAAAAGAATCAGAGGGAGGAGGGAAGCAGGATGACGGTAAAAAATGATTATCCTGTCTCAAAAGAGCATTTGAATTACACATAAAAACACCGGAGCTTAGTACATGTAGTCACATACATGTAGAATCTATTATTAACCTGATATGTGAATATAAGTATATATGTATATAAATATATAAATCACCCGGTCTCATGAGCTTTCAAGTCATCAAACGTTTTTTGCATTTATCAAAAAATTCAAATTCAGTACATGTAGCTTTTATCTCCAGTGCAAAACATACACCATTTTTTACTTATTTACCTATTCATGATTCATTCATTTATATGTTTATCTCTTTATTTGTGCATTTATTCATTCATCTATTTGTTAATTTTTTTTTACCTTCTTATTTTCCATTAATATATTTATTCAGATGGATACTACATGTACATGGAGGCGAGTAGGGTCCTTCCAGACTCACAGGCCAGACTTCAGTTTCCACCACTGCCTAGATCCACGACTCCGCGCTGAGTGCACTTTTCATACCACTTGCTTACTTTATATGGTGTAATTGGCGGACTCCTAGAGGTTGTAGGTCACGGAGGCAATGGTTCTATCCGTATATGGTCAATATCAGGTAGTGTGCGTGTGCGTGTACGTGTGCATGTGCGTTTACTACAGAGAAACATGTCAAATGACACTCCCTTCATTTGATTAATCTACTCCACAAATAAATGTAGCTGTCAGTAAATATAAAACTTTTACTTTCAATAACAAAAATATGTAAAAATTATGAATTTCTGTTTTCATTTTCACAAGGAAACCAAGGATCACAATGGAAAAACGCGAAAGTTACTATCCCTGCCGATATAGTAAACATAGAATTTGTAGCCGTTCGTGGATCTAGCACCCTGAGCTTCAGAGCTAACTTGACACTAACTTCTTCACTGTAGCCTATCTTCATCGNCATCGTGTCAAGTAACCTCTGACGAAAATAGTTTGACCTAGTTTATATAAGCCAATCAAATCCATGTTTCAAAATTTTTCACCAAAGTTTGGTGAAAACGCTGATTGGTTGACCGTCAATCGGCAATCCTCGGCTGATTCCGCAAGCTCCATACTAACAACAAAGTTATTGTCGAGTGCGGAGACATCCGAGTAGTTCCGAGTGTATTACCGTACACAAAGAAAGCAAGGCGAGTGACTACGAAAAAGAATGTGTTAAGTTATCTCTTGATTCTTTGCAAAATATGAGTAAATCGGAATTGAAACCATAGGGTCTAGCAGTTTGAGGCCCTGCATCATTATCTACTGAGAGACGATGTTATTTGCGTGCTGCCCACAGGTTACGGCAAGACCCTGATATTCAGCCTTATCTTTGATTGGTCCGGATTTGAACAAAGCGCGCTTTGACACGTTCGCGTTCATTGGCTAGATCGTTTAATGAGTCATTGAGTGCGGGCTTTTAAATTTGATTGGCGGGCGGCGGAGGCAATCGAATCTGGTCAGAGGTTACTTGACACGATGAAGATAGGCTACAGTGAATAGGTTAGTGTCAAGTTAGCTCTGAAGCTCAGGGTGATCTAGTTACCTTAACGACATCGCCATTGACGACGTGTTAATCCTGGGCGCCGCTTGCGGCTCTGCGAATCGCTCAACAACTCCCACTTCTACAACATCCAGCAACTCCACGCTCTCGGTAAAAACGACTCTTCCGGCAAATACACGCCCAACATTAACAAAACTGCAAGAGTCTTCGACCAAAATAACCCTAGGCCCAATTACTAAGGTACAAGAGACTAGTACTGCTTCTTTCGTAAAGTGGACGACTTTTATGCCAGGTACGAAAGCAGTATTGAGATATGTTGTATTGCATTCAGGGTCGGATTTAGGTCTCAGGCCCGTAGCCACTGGGGTTCGGGGGGTTCGAAAGAACCGCCCCTTTTGTCAGGAAAAGGTCCATTTTGGGTTAAATTTTATCTAGGTACACATAAGTTTCTTTGTAAAAGTTCCACTTTTTCAGAAAAAAAACTCCCCTTTTGAGTTTGCTGGTTACGGGCCTGGTTACGGGCACTTGGCGAGGGTTCCGGGCCCGATGAAGGGCCCAGAAAAATTTTGGTATTTTAGAGTGGTGCCATTTGGTACGGCTTAGAACTATGATTCAGCTAGTCAAAATTCTAATTTCAAGAAGGGAATAAAAATCGAAGGGGGTGGGGGGTCAGGACCTCCCTGACCTCCCTCTAAATCCGCCACTATTATATTATATTATATTATACAGACTTGACATTTAATATGGAATATTTCAGTTTCGAAGGTATGCCTAGGTAAAAATCCGTTCTTTTTTCAAAAAACTCCGATCTCATATAAGATTTGTGAATGGAGAAGTGTGTAGTCAGGTGTGTCGCTACCAATTAACTGACTTCCATGTCTGTTGAGCTGCTACATTGTGTAATATGCGGTGATTTAATTGGGTGGTGTTCCTTTGGGCTGGTCAGTGCTTGGCTTAGGCAAAGCTTGGTTCTGTCAAAAAAGTATCCGTATGTCGGCAACTACTGCATAGAAGAATTTGAAATTTTGGATGCAAGCAGTCAGTTTTGCAGTGCGTAAAATGAGCTAGGTAGTGCTTTACAAATTTGTTAATTTGTGGCAGAATGGCGCAATAAAGATAGACATTACCAGACAGATTAAAGCGCCAAACGGAACGGTCCGCACAGTTTTATAGAGTAATGCCCAGACTGATGTACCTACACAAATGTCACACCCAATGCATCGAAATCTTACCTCAGGGGTACAGGACGCACTGTCTTTCGGGATATGCTGCTGCAACTAAACAAAATCCACCCAGTCCGTTCAGAACAAAGGGCAAATTACCACCAAAATGCGTTTTTCAAGGCCCTTAACGAACACCAAACTGGTTTTAGCAGGTTAGAATACCAGGCAACCTCCGAGGTACCCACTGTAAACAGCAAAACATCGTCGTCTGTTTCTCTAATGAATTGGGGGCCATGACCGTTTCTGGGTAGAACACTGAAACCACGTGGCTTTCTTTTTTGAGGTCAGATTTCACCTGTACCGCCCAACTAGTCAAAACAGAGTTTACAGACATCCAGAAGAGGCCTACGACGAAGCATGTGCCGCGTCTGAAGTGACACGGGTCATTGACAGCGTCAGTATTTGGAGTGGATACCACATTGGTGCCAAAACACCAATGGTAGTCATTGACGAAAACCTGAACCAGATCAAATAAAGGAATAATCTGGGAACCACTTGACTATCATTTGATAGGGGGCACCTTAGGAACAATTTTAGGTTGCACGGTGAGATTGCCGGTTCACACAGAGCACTTTTAATAGCAAATAACTTACAGAACCAAGGGAATGAGCAGCTACCCTGGTCATCAAAATCGCTACATTTGAACCGCATAGCCAATATGTGGGTAAGCCATTACTCGCCGAATCAACTGCCTACATGCCCTAAATCAAAACTGGACCAAATTGGACAATTTTGGACCGATGCCTGGAATAATATTCCAGATTGAACTCTAAAAACCTATCCCAAGGAATGCCTTGCCGCTTGAGAGCGCTGGTAACAGACAGAAGAGGCCAGGCGTAACAGCGACCGTTACTATGACTAAACACTGACATGAGGGTCCTTTGTGGAGCGTGTAACTCTTTTACAGACGATAATTTGGAAAATATGGAGATCCAAAATATCTCTTTTAATGGATGTGGTATGACATAGAATAGGCAATGCATTTCTGTTTGCTTCAATGTCGAATTCAACCAATGAGCTGATGTCACCATGACATCAAAGAGATAATTTAAAATTATTAAAACACGATTTTAATCCTTATTTTCATTTATCAGTCAGCAAAATAGGAAAAAACTGATGAAAAATGACTTGCAAAAAAATATTCCATATTAAATGTCAAGTCTGTA